GGATAAGAGAGCGAGGAGTATCGACGGTTAATAATTCACTGGGAGGTGTTCTTCCGCCCGCCCGCACGCCCTTCCTTCCTTGTTGCGATCAGCACGAGAGCCCAGGCTATTAATGCGCCAATGCAGATGAACCGGGGATTCGTTAAACAAAACGAGCGAGACTTCGTGACTTGGGAGCTATTTGGCTAATAGGTGCCGACGGCGCGTAGGTTAACCATCGTGCGAGATTAATTCGATGATGTTATGAGACGGAGCGTTTACGTCACCGCGTATCAATGGAGCATCGCGACGTCAGGCTATACGTGGTAGCTCGATAAAACGCCTCGGAAATAATATCTCCGTGATTTTCAAGGGGCTGCAGGAAGGGTGAGGATTGTGTCGGGGAGCTATCGACGTCCACGTAAGAATGCATAGGGTTGGATTTGAGACAGAGGAGCGTAAGGGACTTAGGGTAAGTGCTATGTGCTGGGCTCTCGTTTTCATCCTGCTTCCTTCGTATGCTCGCGTTGAGGATCACGGCTGCTTTTATTCTTCATGTAATTAAATAAATCGATGGATAATACCGATCGATAGCCGGCATAGCTGTCCCAAATACGAAAAGTAACAAACTGCTGTATCGTCGAAAATTCCTGGGTTATTGCGAAAATTTAAACGGACGAGGTCGCACTGCTGGATAAAAAGCATTTGCTTCTTTGATGCATTGGTGGGTAATCGATTTCTCGGCCTCTTCGACTAAGCCTTATGCCGAGTTACGACAGGGCCCCCATCAAAGGCATGCACAGAGAAATATCGTAATAACATCAAACGCAAGATTATGGGTAAAATTAATGGGCACCTATAAAGAATGTTAACTTCTTGAAATAAATGGCTATTTGTAGAAGGCGTGTAAGCACTGTATATTATCAAAATTCATTATATCGTTTACCGTTATGGTAAAAGTTTTTATTTATTATCCGCAAATGTTTATCCTTTGCAATTTAGAAGAAGTACAATTCAGATATCGTAAACCTCAGTCCCTTAAAAAAGAAAACAAGAATGTTTCTTTTATAAGCCTATAGGATGGGAATGAAATGGTATTAATCGGTTAATCAACCACCTAATATCACTCCCTCGTATTATTAGGGAATTTTTTAAAAAATGCACAAGTCATAAGGCCGCATACGATGCATATTATAATTGATATGCATTCGCGGCTAGCCATACAAAGTGGATTAGTTAGCACCGTTTGATTTAAATGCAAAAGTTCGGATATCATAAGAATCGTTCTGAGGTGGAAAGCCTTGGATAATTATAAAAATTATTATCATTTAAGCTGTAGGGACGAGTTGGAGTAAGAAGCACATCCGTCCATCGTATATATTAAGGGTCGTAAATGACCGTAGTAGAGTCGCATGTAAATAAACTAGCGTCGTCTCGTTGCTCGAAATCCTATTGCAGATCCAATCGGCAAAAATGCGTCAGACTTTGTAGGCGGTTGTCCATCAAATGGAGGACAGCATAGCGTATTAGATTAATGAACAGACTTGTACGTGCCTCTGTCCGTTTGATGAACAGCAGAGAAATGTATACGCACCGTCAATCTCCATACTAAATGTAATTTATTTTTCCTTCCCTTAACTCTCTATATAAAGAGAGAGGGAGGGAGAGAGAGAGAGAGAGAGAGAGAGAGAGAGAGCATATATTCAGTAAAACATGAATAGTAAACTAATTTCAATGTTCATAAAATTTCATCATTATCACGATTGATTATATCAATATACTGATCCTAAATGATGCTTATTTTTTCATTTTCTTACGCGCGATGAGTTAGCCTATCGTTGGCTGAAAAATTGAATCATTACAGATTAACTCAATGATCACGAAATTTTTATATATTTCGGTATATTATAGCAAATCAGCTACCATTCCATTACAATATATTCGAAATAATTGGGTTACGTAAAAATGCATAATGGTATGTAGGTACCACGAATCTAATTAGCAAAAGCATACATAAGCTATGTGTCAATCCCGAACAACAAAATATAATTATATAAATTCTGATGTCATCTCGTATGTTTTTTTCGAGAGAGAAAGTTTAATAGAACATTTTTTAATTTGCTTGGAAAACGTTTGCTCTTTTTCCTCATATTCGAGAAGAATACTATGTGTATAAAACAAAATAGAAATATATAAATTTTTTTTTTATATTTTCTTTACATTATGTTTAAATATATATATATATATATATATATATATATTATTTGTGAATATATATATATATATATTTAATACAATTTTTACAAATCGAAAATAAATACGATTTTCAAACCAATTTTTGTAAATGAAAAATAATATTTTATTCAATTTTATTCATATTTATGAATTTTATATTAAATTATTTATATTTAGAAAAAAAATATTATTAAGATAATGCATGCAAAAAATTAATATCAAATCATTAAAATATGTCACTAGTTTACCGTGTCACTAATATATAAAATCTTTTTAACTGCAATATGAAATATATATTTTTCACCTTTCTGATTTATTTTTATATACATCATTACTCGGTATTTTGCATTCGCTAAAACCAAATTTAAATTTCTACATTATTTATTTTCTATGTATTATATGTATACATATTCAATTTAATATAATCGATATGAGAAGTGCGTAATTTTATTTTTAATTTTCTATAATTCGTTTATTTAAAAAACATACATTTATTCTATATAATATACAGAGAATTTTGATTTTACAGAAATATTACCAGTAATGTGAATTTTGAAATTGGGTAAGTAAAATCTCTTTTAATTTGCTATGAAATAAATGCACATTGCAAATCATGCATATACAATTTACTAATATTAAATAAAAGAAATAATATGTAACATAGTAAATAAATTATAATAAATAAAAGTTTGATAAAGGATATGAAGAATAGTCTAACTACAATGAAAGTTAAATTAACTTTACATTTAAATAAATGTACATTCTCATTTGAAACGCTAATTCTTATCAAGTGGATATTTAATAAAGTTTTCCTAATTTGAGAAATAATATTAAAGTAAATAATATGTTTATGACTGTTCACGTCAGAACGAATGTATTCTTGTTTATTTTGAGATTATTTAAGTTTATTTGAATAAAACGATCATGTTTCAGTTTTATAAATAAATAGAAATAAGTACCAATAGAATAAGATTCGTAAGTTGATTGTTCATATAAAATTTCTTATGCACATACTTATTGTTTAAGCAAACTATTTCATATCTGACTATTTAATTGCTAAATTCTATTCACGCATTTTGTATATAGATTTCAAAAAAATCTCATTAAGAAAATTAATTAGGAACAATTTAACTAACGAAACAGTGGAATAATATAAATTATATTATCAAAACGATAACAAAAATAGACATTTCGAA